CTTGTATAATGTTGCCATATTTTCTCTATTGGACATAATTTTGTAATTTTTAAGAGAATTTTTAAGGAAAAATAAAGTTTTTAAATATTGCAATGTGAACAAAGTGAAGAAAGCAAAAATTTCAGAAAGCATTATTATTGTTATGGTATCATATGAGAATATACTACATACAAATACAAATAAATTCGCATAAAGGCAAAAGCACTTACTTAAGTGCAATCTGATTTACGTGAAATCATGCTCTATTCATTTTACTTAGGCTAAATTAAATTATTAGCACACACTATAATGTCAATTATCTTTCATAAATATCTAACTTTGAAACGCGCCCGTTTGCAAAAGATACAAACGCGCCGAATTATTCGAAAATTTTTGCGTTCGGCGGCATAATAAATTTATGAGGTCGCAGGAATTCCCGTTCGGCGGTTTGCAAAATGCATTTGCACCGAGCGATAAAAATACGCTTATCGAAACGGAGTTGCATTTGGGCGCCGCTGTATGCATCGCGCCGATTCGACGCCACGGTAATTTATCGCAGCCGTGCGCAACGGTTGTGAAATTTTTCTACTGCATTCACGAGCTACTACTGTCCGTCCTGACAACGTTGACAAATGTCGTTTCGAATGCTTCGCAGAACCGCACGATGTCTATTCTCGAATGACATTTCACCTGACGCGTAAAATATAAATGTAAAATTCTCAAGTCCTTTTTCATAATACTCTAAAATATAATTATGCAATAGTACGCTCTTATTTATCAGCGGAAAAAAATTCAAACTATGTGAAAAAGATATTTAATTTATTGCTTGACACAAATATAAATAATAATAGACCAGCAATTTGTGATTCATGGTTCAATGGAGATTAATGAAATTTATGGTGAATTATTTACGATGATCATTTATCTTTCAATTTTATGAGAGATAATATTGCAACATTGCAGAAACTTGTAATGAGATCATAAACACAGTGTCGAAATTATAGAATTTAGCATGAATAATATGATTAGGTATATTTACTACAGAAATATTTGTTCCTCTTTAATTATATTAATATTTTTATTAATTAAAAACAGGCGACATATTTTAACGGATAACGAAATATTCATTTATATTATGAAAACGTATTTTATACGAAAATTGTCGATTAGGGAATCTATTCAAACAAATCTATTAGAGTCATCCACGTTTATCAACATTCATTTAATTCGTGGATACATCATCGATATAATTGCTCGTTGAAGTTGTGATAATATTTCGATTCACTATGAAAACGTAGATTAGTTCAAACAGATCCTTTTCATATTGAGAAATCAAGAAAAAAAAAATCTTATCCGGATTTTCAATATTTACTATTATTGATACTGCGTATTCATCGTAAATTACTTCGCAATGTGTGGTATTTGTTAAATATCAACGAAATATTACATTAGCTGTGTATGCAATATTCTCCAGAATCGCGTCATTATCGATATCATTGAACATTTCTGTTAATCTTTGCAGCAATTATTGAGACAATAAAATAATAAAAATGACTATATTATATATAATTGTGTATATACAAATGTATGCATATATAAACATATATTATTACATATACATTATCATATGTATATTATTAAGAATTTCTTTCTATTAGTTTAGATGTGTTATTCATATAATTAATGAACATATATATATTATACAATACAATTTTATTGATCTAATATTTCTGCTTGCCACTTATAATTGGTTGCTGCTTCACTGCTTTAATTTCAGATATATATATATACATACGGTCTATCAAAAAGTTTTCCAATTTTTTTTCAACTATATACAACTAGAGCTATCTGTTGAAAAAATATGGAATTCCTTTTTATGAAATTTCAACTCTGTAGAGTTGCGTTTCTTTACACGGGAAGAACGATTTTGTTGAAAGGCCTAAATTTTGCTAAAAACAGATCTGAAAATAATTTTTTATTGAATCATTAAAATAATTTGTTGGAATGTTAAAACTGATAAGCATTGCTATAAAACGTTTTGATATTCTATCAATCATTTTGACTTTTGCACAAAATTATTTTGATTATTGAACAAAAATTATTTTCAGATCTGGATTCAGCAAAATTGTTCTTTCCGTGTATGTTACATCATTTATTTTCCGTCAAAAGAGAATTTTTGATGCTTAAATAAAAATCTATGATTATGTTTTTACTTTTATACTCGTCTAAATATCTTTTTTTTTTAATTATATAATTCTATCGTCACTATTTTATGAACAATATTTTTTTTCTGAAAAAAATAAAGGACTCCAAACTAATCCCTTATTGACGACGCATGAAATTACATAAGTTGATTATATAGATTGGCACTTTAGATGCAAATCAGAAATTCAATTTCGATTAAGAGTTTTCTGACACTCGATATTTTTATTTGTGGAACACTCAACACGACAATCTCTCTGTAGACAGTCTATCTGTTCGCGATAATTTTCTCATCGCTATCTCGCATCTTATCGTTCATTACTATTGCTTTCGTCATTGTCGACACAGATTCATGTAATGTGTATTTACGATAATTCACGGGGGACTTTCCAATGATATTAAAAATCGATTTTCGCAAGAATCTCCTATACAAATGGACATGATCTTTTCTTGATAGTTATCATAAAATATCATATTTCTCGTACTCGTAAACCGCATCTTTCCTCAACTCTCTAAAAAAAATTAATTTTGATAAAAATAAAAAAGTTGTGTTTAATTCAATAAAATTCATATAAAATTCGGGATATTTTAATTGTTTATTGTACACATATCAAGATTAAAATGTTAATAAGTGTCCGGTGACACCCATCTTCGTTAATTAAACGGACATTTTGTATAAATGAATATTGTATATGAGGAGATATTTTTGTATAAATGAATATTACGCGATTACGAATATTGATATTACATACTATGTATAAATCTGAACGTTTTGCATAGTACGTGTTAAATATGATCTCATAAAAAATTAATAATAATATAAAATATTAATCTCATGAAATATTAATAATAAGTATCTCACGGTTATTGAATTTATCAGTGAACCTTCCGCAAAATGTTTCAATCTTTTTTATCAATTTTTTCGTGTCTCAACGAATTTAACGTTCTCGCGAAGTCTGCAGAAATCCCCCTGATTTCCCTGCGTCGGCTCCATCAATTCCTCGGCCGTCACTTGCAAACGATAAATTTATCTTAAAGAAGACCGACCGCGGAGCGATTTCTTCGCGCGTCGTCGCGTTCTTCCTGTAACCGGTACCTGTAATCGTCCCGCTCTTAATCACGGGCGACCGTGCGACGCGAAGCTTATATTTTACGATTGTTTTAGTTTCACGCGGGCCGCAATAACTTAATTAAATCCGACCTTATTTAATCCGGCCCCACTGTGGTGCGCTGAATCACTTTGATTTTAAAGCTGGGCGATTTTGCGCGAGAGAACGAAATTATCTCGACTTCCTTTTTTTTTAGCGTTGCGCGTTTACTTACTTACTAACACTTGGTCGAGTTTTCTTCTTGCCAAGTGGAAAGAGCATGGCCGGACCAAACACCCCGTAAAGCAAATATTAAAACTTTGTCGTAGTTTTGCGCACTTTACGTTTGAAGGTGATTACTGGAAGTATTACCACACAGCATCCGCCACTTTGCGCTCTTCGGGTATATTATCTTGAATATTTTTCAAAAAGTTAAACGTGCTGATGTATGTGTATTATTATTGGAGTAAAATATCGATGCTCGCACGGAAAAAATTGCTGTGGATATTACAATAATATTCTCTATATGTTTTTGGAAAAGAAATGCATGTAAATTTATTTAAGTTATATTGATGTTACATGCACGGAAAGAACGATTTTGTTGAAAGATCTAAAAATTTTGTCAAAAACAGATCTGAAAATAAATAATTTTTTGTTGAACCATCAAAATAATTTGTTGTAATATTAAAACTGATAAGCATTGCTATAAAACATTTTGATATTCTAGCAATCACTTTGACTTTCGCACAAAATTATTTTGAATATTGAACAGAAATTATTTTCAGATCTGGATTCAGTGAAATTGTTCTTTCCGTGTGGCATACATCTGTTAAGGTTATGCTCATCAGTACAGTTGTCATAATTGTAGTGCTTAGGGTAAATAACATTCTAACCGAATGTTATTTATCCTAAACACTACGATTATGACAACTGTACTGATGAGAATATCTTCATATATGTGGTTGCCTCAACCAAAACATTATTGTTATCTCTCTAATATGATCTGTACAACAAATAGTATGATTGAGAGATATATATGGTATAGTTGCACGTCACAATGTTGAAGCTGAGAGTTCAGTTAACTATATAAGTCACTTCCAAAGTATTTTAATTTCTATAACCCTTTTAAATTGATGGGCGAAAATTATCACAATTATTTTGTTTTGGCAACAGTATTTTTTTTCGTGCGATACTGATATCAATTACGATACAATTATGAATATAATTTTTTTTATTATAATTTAAATATTTCTCTAAATTTCGAGTTACAAGATAACTATTCAATTACTTTTTACATATCTTTATTTTAGATGGTAACTTATCATGTAGGTAGCTTAATTAATATTTAAATTAAATCATTGATAATTATCTATGATTAGATAAAATTAACTATAGTAATCCATTTCGAAGAAAACTTAAACTTTATATGTTTGTAAAGTAATTTTTTTTAATTCAAACGATTTGATCTTACATGGTCTTTGTACAAAATTTTTATAAGTTTTATACATATAGTCTTGTTATATGGCTATGAGTCACATAATATTATATATAATATTATTATATAATATTATTTGAACTATATCATTAATTATTGTGAGTGATTAAGATAATTAAATCAATATAAATTTTAAAACGCAGAAAGATTAATTGTTTTATTCGATAACGTACAACCGATATTAATTTTGCAAACGCCATTAATGGACGATGAAGAACTTTCGCATTTATCAGCCATTTATGCTTACAAATATATAAAATGTAATAGTAAATATAATTTATTGGCTTTTAATCGTGTCTGTCTCATATGCATTTTTATATTGCCTTTGTCTTAATTAATATAACAATACGATGTAATTCTTCAAATACTTGTGTTAATGCAATCGGGCATTATACGCTATACATTTATGCTGTCACTTCTCATCGAATAAGAAAATCCACCTTAATTTTATTTCTTTCTTCCCCCTTACACTGGAAGCAATCAGGACGAATGTATTTTGTAGTATTGTGTACGGAGCTCCTCTTGATTCTCTCGAATTTCTCTTTTTAATGCATATACCGAGCTACATCGTGGTACTCAGACGTACGTAATAGGGACGACATAACGTGAATGTCCTGCGACGGGAAAATCCGCTTCCAACAAACGAAATAGACGAGCAGGACGTTCGGAAAAATCTCTTGGGTTTCCGTTCTAACGTTTCTAACTAAGGTTTCCGTTACTTCGAACTGTAAGATCGTAATGATATTTTATCTGGTGGTGTTTCCTACGCACTTTATGATGTTCATTTGTATTTCGAGATAACGAGTGATAAAAACGGGTATCAAGAACTATTTTTTAAGTTTCATTCTATTTGCCATTTTTACTTGTCAGTAGCGTTTTATGTATGCTTATGCATATATAAGTATATTTACACGAATAGCAATCGATTTATGTTTATCTGATATCGCTTTAGTAATTGGTTTATTATAAATCTGTATATAGCGATACGTATCCTAATGTGTCATGACATTATCGTAATATCGTATTTCATCGATAATCACCTAACAAAATACGAATGAGCCACGAGATACGCGATAAAACGATACTCCGCTCTATAAATTTGATAAAGCGTAAGTCTCTATAACACACTGGTTATATCAAATTAATTTATTAGAAACGAAGCGTACATAAAGAGAATTTTTACATTAGGGTCATGTTGTACATTATATCGTGTTATAATACTATAGGAAATTATTACAGAAACATTAAATTTTTAAATCATTGAAATGCTAAAAAACAATAACGATTATAGTGGTACATGTCCTAAATATAACAGTAATACACACAATAATTACGCTATCGTTTTAATTCGTCGCGTAATTCCTAGCGATCTGCTTGAGCTCCTTCTTAGCGATCTTCCCCGTGGCCGTGCGAGGAAGCCTCTGCATGAATTTAACTCCCGCATGCAACCTGCAGTACCACGGCATGTTCTGCTCCACCAAGTCGGTTATGTCGAGCTCCGTCGCCTGAAATTTACGTGAGGAATTGTAATGTAACGTATGTAGGGCAAGATGGTGGAACTTAGGGCCAGCAGTAAATTGAAGCTGCGCGTACAAAAGCAAGTCAACTTTTCTTTTGGTAAAATGTAAATAAACGTGAAAAATTTATACAGGCTAATCTCTTCTTTAAAACAAAAAAGCAGCCAATAAAGTATGTGAATGACTTTGGATATTTCACAAAATATTCAATAATGCAGAGAAAGTTTGAGACGAACGATATAATTTTCAAAAACTTGTTAAATGTATTACTTCATTAAAGATATTTTATTTTACATGTTACTTTGTTAATAATTTAGTGTACAAAAAATTTAGGCAAACGAAAATAATTCTTAATATTGTTTTGATATTAAAAAGAGATATTTCTCTCTCTCTCTCTCTCGATATTTCTGTCAATCTAAAAGATCTCACATCATAAACAGTTAAAAACATATGAGATAGAAACAAATATTTAAATACATTGTGAATGTTTACTAGAGTGATTACCTCTTTTCCGGGTACTTTCGCGATAAAAGCCATAGCGTGTTCCTCTTCGACAGAATGCGGCACCGCCACTACAGCGACTTCGAGGACCGCGGAATGCTGCTGAATCAAAGCTTCGATTTCCGCGGGCGATATTTTGATGGATCTGTAGTTGATGAATTCTGACATTCTGTCAACGAGGAAGATTTCACCATCGTCATCGTAATAACCAAGATCGCCAGTATGCAACCATCCTAAAATGAACGCCATGTTGGGTATATTAAAGTTTTGCGATTCTTTATAACGTAGAAATTATCGTTTTGATATTAAAATAAATTATTGAGACATTTTTTGATTAAATTATATTAATAATTAAAATAACAATATCAATAATTGCAACTTTTTTTACTATTACCAGTTAATCTTTATGATATACAGCCTTAAAAAATGTACTAAAAAATATCCCACAACGTATAGATTTTTTTATTATATTTTATTACTTAAAATCTCTGTGTCTGCCCTAAACAATGGCAAATGTCAAACTATTTCTTACTTACCGTTCGAATCGATAGCGTTCTTTGTGGCCTCGGGGTTGTTGTAGTATCCATTCATCATGTACGACGATTTGGCCCATATTTCTCCGGTTTTGTTGACCCCCAAGACCTTTCCCGTGTCAGGATCGACCACTTTCAGCCGTCCTGTTTCGCACACAAATCCGCAACTGCCTGGTTTACTACGTCTCGTCTGACGGGCGCATAATCCACCGTAATCTGTCATTCCTGCGGGCAGTTTAAAAATCGGTTTCCCTCACGTCGCATGTCCAATGCATGTATTTTAAATAGAAAAATTGGCTGGCATTATGCAATTAATCATTGATCGTCTAAATGGGGTGACAAGACTTGCGATAATTACGACCGTGGTCTTATGATCTTCGGGAAATCCCGCGACCTACCGTAGCTCAATATGACATCGGTATGCGGCAAAAGTTTCACCAGAGTCTGCTGCAGCTCTCCCCGGAAATGCGCGCCGCCAAACAAAAGGATTTTCAATGTTGGTAGTCGGTACTTGCTTAATATGCCGAACTTTACCAGTCGAATGGGGAAGCAGGAATCGCATCTAAACCAGGATACCTGAATGCAAAACGACGCCGTTAAACTCGAACGCTTCCCGCGCGGTATTACCTGCACGAGGCAATAAATCACACGGGTACAACTATCACGCCCGTTTGTAGATGCGCCTCAATTCGGGCCCGTGTTATCCTTTAGCAAATTCGCCGCGCGACATAAATTAACATAAATTAACGCGAGCGCGCGAGGGTAATATTGTGTGAAATACTCCCGTTGCAAGAATTATCCCGAAAATGAAAATAATAACGGCGGACGCTGCTTGATGAAAAATGCATGGTAAATCAAGTGATATTGCCAAATGTTAAATTTTATCTCCATCGTATAAACTCGTAATTAATTCTCTACGTCGAGCTGAGCGCGTCGCTAAAAAGAATGCTTTATATAGCGTTTTAAATAACCGGTAACATTACTATTGAACGATCGCTGATATTCGCGAATGTGTCTGTAACGGCCATTTATTAATTTGTCATTATTGTCGAGTATATACGCGTGTGCTGGAGAGGCGATATTCCGATTCGTCATTAATATGCAATTAAGCGACATATTTCTGCCAATCTCTCTCTCTCTCTCTCTCTCTCGTCACTCGCCTCGTACTTTTCGATGAAGTGACACGTCTCCTCGGTGTCATCGCTATCCGGGACTACGACCCTCTTCGAACAATCGAGAATAGCCTTGATAATGATGAATAGACCGCAGTACCAACGCATGGAAGGTGTCCACATGGACACGTGTCCTCGGAGATCGTGGATCTTGACGTGAGCCATGTAATTGATCATGGACGCGTGGCTGATCTCGGTGCCTTTCGGCAGGCCGCTGGTGCCGGACGAGCAAACGATCGTGGCGACATGATCGGGGCTGGCCAACTTCGCGCACTCAAATTCGTCAATGCCCGCGGCGTCCTGAGAACGCAGAACGCTCGTCAGGGACGCGTCCTCGAATCCCGCCAGTTCGTCGAATATCACCAATTTGGTGTTCAGATTGTTTTCCTTGACAACCTGCGCCAGACACTCGGCCGACTCGGCATTCACGAACACGACCTTCGGTCTCGTCAGCAAGAGGAAGTAACGCGCTGTTACTAGAACGAAGAAAATATTTGTAAATATTTTTCGTGTACGAGAAACACGACGACGTCTTGCTACGTCTTGGCTCGTTACATCTGCGCGAATTAATTGCGACGACGTTTCTCGGATTTGCAGCGAAGATAAAGTGGAAAAGTGGAAAAGCGCGTCCGACCACTTTGCAACAAATGCTTTTTTTACGACGCTTTTTTCACGATTGATTAAAAAAGAAGCGGAAGGGGAAAAACGTAGAAAATGAAAACAGAATGCTTTACAAGCGCAGCAAGCTCTCGATGCGCGGAAATCCGATTTTGTTCGGTGGTTTAATGCCCGGGCCCGGATACAAGCTGAAAAAGCGCGGGAACAAGCTGAAAAAAAAGCAGCTGGCGGGGGAAAAGTAACGTACTTGGGGAAAGTTCGTTGTCCCAGGGATTGCTGATGGCGCCGACGTAGAGTGCCGCCAGCAGCGGTACGTATGACTCCAAGTGATTGTGAGTGCAAATGCCGATTATGTCGCCTGGCTGAACAGCTTGCTCTCTCAGCCACAGCGCGCACTTCACGCTTTTCTCCGTCATTTCTGCAAAAGTGGTCGCCGCGCCGGTAACCGCCTCCACCTACAAGAACCCAGGATCGAACGAGGGTTAAATGGCGAATCGTGGCGAAATTTATGTTGAAATCGACTAGACGGCGATGTCTCTCTATCGGCACCTTCTCGCGGAAATCGACCGTGTCTGTGTACTTACTTGAGCAACGAACTCCGGTCTGCTTCGCATCTTCTCCAACACCAACCCACCGACGTTTGTGCATTCTTTATAAATTGATACCTCCTCGCCAATCAATACGTTGTTCTCCGTTCTGAACGTCATGCTCTTCTGAAAATTAAATCAACAATAGTGAAGTAACGCTAATGCGAGCCAACATGGATGTTGGTGTGTATAATAATGTTGATATCCAGCCACACACAAACGGCGCGCCGCGTATTCATCGGTCTTGAAATACAATTCTTTATATGAGGCCAGAATTCACTTGTAACGAATTAAATTGACTAGCAATTTAATCTATTTGATGCTAACGTGCATCTATAAGAATCTCCTCCCCCCAAATTTGTAAAGAAATTTCTGAAAATTATAACGAATGCATTCCTGTCTTTATTGTCTATATTAAAGTGAGAAACTCTGCAAAAAGATGCATTGTGAAAAAAGTTCTTTGTTTACAAATGCATAAACCGACTACTAGAAATTGATAATTCAATACTCGATGCAAATAACGAATTGTTGCGAGTGTGAATGAATGTATGTCAACTTGATTTTATAATTTAAACCGGTCATGTGGTTACAATAGGTTTTGATAAACTTGACTTTGATGTCTAGAAAATTTCTAATATCTCGAGTTGAGTTTAAATCCAATATGAATACTAACGATCTCCTAAAAGAATTTTAGGAAGATTTATTATGGCTGTACATACCTCCTTGATGATATTCTCATTTTTCAGGTTTACCATCGTGTAGGATTGTGCTTAGTACACGTGAAAAATTAACAGCGTAAAGCTCATAAGATCGACTAAGCCGTGTCTTTACTTTGATCGTTTTATTGTCCCGCGAGCTACCGAGACGATTGCTATGATTCATCCATACATTTTTAGTTACATATCGATAAGATACGAGGAACGTACGCGCAACGGAAATCTACATTTGGACTTTGACATTTGGATGAAAAGAGATAAACGGTTTAGTGATGAATGTTTACGTGGAAACCTGTCTTTATTGTCTATATTAAGGCGAGAAACTCTGCAGAAAGATGCAGAGTGAAAAAATTTCTTTGTTTACAAATGCATTGCGAAATAACACTGTGGTAATGTCCACTGAGAAAAGACAAATATTTGTAAGCAAACTCAAATGTACAAGTGTCATCCTCAAATGTTTGCTCTCTTTATATTGGAATTTTTGTAATTTCGCGAATCTCTGAACGAGTCACTGATTTAATGTAACTGGTTATATATTATTTTTTTAAATAAAATATCGAGTAAAAATACATTTTTAAAATATCAAAATTTGTAGACACAGAAGTGGAATATAAAATAAAAATTTATTTTATTAAAGAGCTGCGAAGATTAACTTGCGAAGATGTGGATTTATATAACGCTATGGCATTAACTTTATAAAATAAATATTTTTAGAAAACTTCTAAAAATATATTTTTGTCTTAAATATGTAATCTTTTATTTAATCGCGAAATTATTATAAAAATTAAGATTTATGTCTAATTAATTGACATATTGACAAAAATTAAATGGTTAATGTAAGCTTTAAATATATTCGAAATTATTACATATCATACTTTTGTTTTTTTCTACTCATTAGTTTGTTGTAACTGTATTAAACGACATTAAATTTATTTAAATGAAAGGACTTTATTTATGAATTTGTAGCAACTTATTTGTAAATAAAATTTTAAATTAAATTAAATTCTTTTGTACAAATAAATTTATATAATTATAAACAGAATATCGATCTGATTTTAAATTATTTTTATAAAAATACTTTTTATTAAAAATATTTTTAAAATATTTTAAAATTATAATTAAAAAAATTTTTTTATTAAAAGTATTTTATTTTTTGGTAAAAGTATTTTCATTAAACAAATAAAATATTTGTATACAAAACATATTTACAACATCTAGAAAATATTTTTGTTAATGATATTTTTAAAATGTTAGGTAAAAAATATAAAAATATTTTAATATTAAAAAGATTTAAATATATTCGGTCTTTCTTTTCTTAATGAACATGCGAATGAACAGCATTTGTAAAAGTTGTATATAATTATTATAAGAGAGTATTTCGAATATACGAACATGCAATGCCAATATATTCATCAAGACTTGAATAATAACAATCTTTCATAAATAAACTTTTTATTAATAATAATATGCGATAAATATATATAGATATATCAATGAATTTTTAATTCAATCGCAACTGATTGGATATAGAGGAAGACAATAGAGTAGAAAACCTCAAATTCGTCTTTATTCGTCTTTATTGTTTGAAAATATATTACTAAGCGTAACATCAGTATAATAATGTAATAATTTAAATTTAACAAATTTATTCTTATAATGAATATTATAAGAATATCCGCTATATTGAAGAAGAAATTGGAGGACTAATTGGATAGCGCTAGTAGCAGGTTCCACTAAGTTCTAACCAATTTATGAACGCGGCAACGTGACACGAGAGTGCACTACTCGGTCACCGACTCTCAAGATGGTGAGAATGTTCCTGTTTCTCGAACTTTCCTTTGGTATTGATGATCTCAATAGTCCTCACTTCATCTTGATATTATCCTTTTATTGATTCTCATTTATTTATATTCATGGCGTTACCATTAATTTTTTAACTATTCACGCAATCTTGAGATTGTCATCGGAAATATTCTTGTATATATATTTAAAGATTTATACAGGGTTAGAAAGTAACGCATTACATGATATACAACAATAGCGATGTTTTACAAATTATTGTATTTTCTATGTAAATGTGTAAAATTATAATCAAAATTTTGTAATATTTCTGATCTAAAATATACTGAATTGGCTTGTAGTCTCTTTCGAAAGATTTTAAACGAAAAATTATTTAAATGCATAATTGTGCAACATGATTTTTGTTGCCTATGATGATTAATATCTTTAATGAAATATTACAATGTGAATTTACGGACAGTCATTTAATTATTCAAATCCTCCGTGCTGTTTCGTTTAGATATCGGAAAATGTTTCAGAGATAAACTGTTTACATGTTTTAGCGCAAAATAGCATTTACAAGTACAAGCTGTGTGTTATACTTAAGTTATGCACAAACTGCTGCCACCGCTTTGCAACTCTAAACAGCTTTAAAAGCATGCCGTATTAAATAATTCAACTCTCTAAAAAGAACAAAAAAACGCTTACAATTGATTAAATTAACACTTATAATAAAATTTAATAATAATAATATTTTATGTTATTCTTTTTATGATTAAATATTATAAAATGCTCATCAATTTTGTTGTTGATTTAGATTATTTACGACGCCGTACGAGAGTGTCAATGCAATAATTGTATTTATACCGCAAATATATTTAACTTATATGTATGTAGTACACACACAGACGTATAGAAGTCAAGGCATGTAACAGTCTGTAGTTCCTGACATGTATCGTGTTTACGTAGAATATATTGCCTGCTTTGCCATAAGTATGTCTGTCATGATATGTACGCGGTTATAGAACAACATCGACAATTTCCCGTAAGCATTTTCAAACAGTTCTCCACGATAGGGTGAAAGCTCCTCCAACCCTTCAATATTGAAGGAGCGCCGGCACAGAGGACGGCGCGAATTTACTTACATTCACTGAAAACTCCAGTAATCACTCGAGCTTTGACGTGCCATGTAATTCAAATCGGTAATAGGAGTTTAACAAGCTGCAAATAAGCCTGCAGATTTATTCTTCTCACTTCGCGGTTCTCTTACTTTGTCAGAAACGTTCAATTTTGTGAAATAATAAACGCGCGTCCGATTTGTGTTTTTCTTTGTACCTATTTTGCGATTAATAATGAAGGTTCAGTAGTAAATGAAATATTTTTTGGCATAGGTACATATTGGATTTAGATTTAGTAAATGTAAAACAATTTCTGTCATGATGTATTTCTATCTTGATTTCTGTCATAATGTATTCTACTGTGACGATTACATAGCCACAATGCTTAGATTAGACAAAGCATTGTGAACATACATACACGTCAATAAATGAAGCGTCGTATACAGGTTGCATGACGCCCGTGTCAATTTGACATGCTAGCCGAATTGGCTAGCATGTCAATATTCTTAGAACGTCAATATTCTTTCTGTCTTATTATATCAGTTTTTTATCGAAATTGTAGATGGACCTTCTCTCACTTATGCAACTATTTCTATTGCATATATCCTTTCTATTGCTAGTATTCTTAACAGTATAAGTAACACAGTGAGAATTAGTTCACATACATAACCGGCCAACGAATAATCGTAGACAATTATTTCAAACACATAATGTCTTTCCAAAGAAAATACGAGATGAAAAGAGAAATCTTAAATAACAAATAATGCCAAAAAGCACAGAGTCGACAGACATTGATTAGTTTACATGTGTAATGTTAAAGCGATTACAGCAGACTTTTGTAAGTACGCGAAAATACTACTAATTGTTTTATTCCACTGACCTACAATCTTCCAAATTTCATTACTTACTCTCATTTTTTGAAGTATTTTCCCAATATGTTTCATAAACTAACATGTTTTATACATTTTATGTAAAGTTTATGTTTTTTTTCCAGAAAATCTGTTGGGAAGTACACTTTTCTACATATCTTATTATTTCACTGTCTATAACCGTACTATAGTAACTGAAACAACGATGCGTAGTTAGTTACAACCCTTAAAATATCTCTGGCGGCGATAAATAACATACTAGCGCACTCAAGAATACTAAATAAAATACGTCTTTAATGCGTAAAATATTATACGTATATATAATAATATGAAAAGGTGAAAGAGCTTTTTATATTCGCTACTTTTTACTCCTTGAAAATAAATCGTTTACTTTGGATTATTCTCAAGCGGCGCAAGCGGCAAAGCAAACTATCGGCGCGGTTTCAAATTGAATTCGCGGTATCGGTATGTGGTGCGACATGAAAGCAGCGGGGAGGAAGGGATTCGCGCAAGGCATTGGTCTGTCCGACTATCGATGTTTCCCGAAGAAGTCCTCGGGGGAAATCTAGGATTTCCCTTCGATCAGATGCGTTTCCGCCCGATAGTTGACCCGCCTTAGGACTACGGCTTGCTGACGGCCGTGGAATTGCTTCCGCGCCACCTCCCTTCGTTCTCCTCCTCCTACCTCCCCCCGCCTCCCCCTGCCCGTTATCGATACGCAGCCCCTTTCGATACGCTTACGCGACCCCGTAATTATGGTCCTCGCGTATCCCGCGGCCATTCAAGTTGGTCCGTGTCCCTCTCTGCGACAGGATGGAATTCAATTCGAGGCCGTTAATCGTCGCGACACGCTTCGTTCGACACAAGCATGTTCCGATGTTTACACGACAACGCGACGCGCGCAACGACAGCTAATTAGACGAGGATGTACTTAGGCTCTGCACTGTTAATTCGATAATTCATGTCGCTGAAAATAGATGCTCTATCGCACTAACATCTATCTAATCAATGTCCGCAGGTTCGCCTTTGCGGGTGGGCGGCGACTGTCTGGCCTCGTTGTCGGAGAGACAGCAGATTGGAAGGTGCATTCTGCTGGAAGAAGAAGAAAAATGGGAAGGTGGCTGCCGGTAAGCAAATATAATTGCGTCAAAGTAACCGTAATTCTAAAAAAAATTGACAAGATGATCTGGAAGAAAGGTTTAAGAAATTTTAAGATATTTTTGTCAAATTTAAATATATCAGATGTTTTCCAAATGTTCTTTTTTATTTTTCTCAAATCATTCAAGTATAAGACATTAGTGGAAAAAGCGCTATTATTTTTGTTGATAACTACACTTGACTTTGTCCAAGCCAATATCCAAGCCATCCA